TAAATGCTGAGACAATGACAGGCAAAGGTAGAGAGCTGGCTGGCATGATGCAGAGAAGGAAGGTAGATGTTTTATTCAATTTAATTCAGTTTATTTATATAGCACCAAAATTACAACAAAGTTGGCTCAGGGCACTTTACAGGAACATTCACATACATAGAAAAGCCAGTTAGTAAAGTTCTCTAAGGAAGTCAGCAGACATGTTGAATCTTCACTTCGTCACAATCTCCCATCCTGAGCAAGCACAATTAGAAGTAGAAGGGTAGCAAGGCTCTCAGCATTGGAGCAGGGTTTAAACTGTTTAACCATGGTGTGGATAGAAAGAGAAATGGAGTAGGTGTAGTCCTGAAAGAGGAGTTGATAAAGAATGTAGTAGATGTGAAAAGAGTGTCGAATAGGGTGATGAGCCTGAAGGTAAATAAGGTCTGATACTAAACATTGTCAGTGGTTATGCTCCACAGGTTGGATGTGATGTGGAGATGAAAGATTCATTTTGGAAGGATCTGGATGAAGTGATAGAGAGTATTCCCAGGGAGGAGAGAGTGGTGATCAGAGCAGACCTGAATGGACACGTTGATGAAGGAAACAGAGGAGATGAGGAAATGATGGGTAGGCTTGGTGTCAAGGAAAGAAACCAGGAAGGACAGATGGTGGTGGAAATTGCCAAGAGAATGGAAATGGCTGTAGTCAACACCTATTTCCAAAAGAGGGAGGAACATAGAGTGAGCTATAAGAGTGGAGGAAGGAGTACGCAGATCGACTACATTCTGTGTAGAAGAGGAAACCTGAGGGAGATTGGAAACGTGTTGTGGCAGGGGAGAGCATGGCCAGACAGCATCAGATGGTTGTGTGTAAAATGACTGTTGTTGTGAAGAAAATAAAAAGAGTAAAATCAGAGAAGAAGACCAAATGCTGGACGATGTAGAAGAAAGGATGTTGTGAGAACTTCAGAGAGGAGCTGTTAAAGACTCTGGGTGGTAAGAAAGAGCTTCCAAATGACTGGACTACTACAGCAACAGTAATTAGAGAGACAGGTAGGAAAGTACTGTGTCATCTGGACAGAGAATGGATGATTAGGAAGCCTGGTGGTGGAATAATGAAGTGCAGGAAGATGTTCAAAGAAAGAGGTTAGCCAAGAAGAAATATGACAGTGTGAGGACTGAAGAGAGGAGACAGGAATATAAGGAGATGCAACGTAGAGCAAAGAGGGACGTGGCGAAGGCAAAGCAGGAGATGTTTGATGAGCTGTTTGGGAGGCTGGACACTAAAGAAGGCGAGAAGGACTTGAACTGATTGGCAAGCCAGAGGGATCAGGCTGGAAAGGATGTGCAACAAGACTTGTTAAAGATACGGATGGTAATGTTTTAACAAGTGGGGACAAAGTGACGGGAAAATGGAAAGAGTACTTTTAGGAACTAATGAATAGAGAATGAAAGAGGAAGAAGAGTAGAGGTCATAAAAACTGTGGACCAGGAAGTGTGGAAGATTAGTGAGGGTGAAGGTTGAATAGCTCTGCAAAGAATAAAGATGGGGAAGGCAGTAGGACCTGATGATATACCAGACATTTCCAGGTTTGGAAATGCCTTGGAGAGATGGCAGTGAGGTTTCTGACTCAAATATTCAATTGTATATTTGAGGGTGAGAAAATGCCTGAGAAATGTAGAAGAAGTGTGCTGGTGCCCATTTTTAAGAACAAGGGTGATGTACAGAGTTGTAGCAACTATAGGGGAATTAAGTTGATGAGTCACACGATGAAGATCTGGGAGAGAGTTGAGGAAGCAAGACTTAGACGAGAGGTGACTATCTATGAGCAGCAGTATGGTTTCATGCCAAGAAAGAGCACCACAGATGCCATCTTTGCTTTGAGGATGCTGATGGAGAAGTACAGAGAGGGTCAGAAAGAACTCCATTGTGTCTTTGTGGATTTAGAAAAAGCATGACAGAGTGCCGAGGGAGGAGGTGTGGTATTGCATGAGGAAATCTGGAGTGGCAGAAAAGTATGTTAGAGTGGCACAGGACGTATGAGGACAGGACATTGGTGAGATGTGCTGTAGGAGTGACAGATAGCTTCAAGGTAGAGGTGGGAGTGCATCAAGGTTTGGCTCTGAGCCCCTTCTTGTTTGCTCTGGTGATGGACCGACTAACAGATGAGGTCAGGCAAGAATCCCCATGGAATATGATGTTTGTAGATGACATTGTGATCTGTGGTGAGAACAGGGAACAGTTGGAAGAGAACTTGAAGAGTTGGAAGTATGCACTTGAAAGAAGAGGAATGAAAGCCAGCCTGTAAAACAGAGTACATGTGTGTTAATGAGAGGGAGGAGGTGGAACAGTGAGGCTACAAGGAGCAGAGGTCACAAAGGTGCAGGACTTCAAGAACCGTAATTTCCGCCATACTTGTCGCACGGCCTTATAAGTCGCATCAGCCCAAATATGTCTAAAAAAGTGGAAAAATCCATAAATATGTCCCTTCACCATATACGTTGCATCTATTATGTGTCACTGCTCACGCATCGCGTTTATTATTTGTTACCGCTGACAACCCGGAAATGTGGGCCGAACCCAGAAATGTGGGCCGGTGTTGTGCCAAAAATTGATGGGCTGACAAATGGCAGCCGCGGGAGCATGTATGGGAGGACTTTAACAAGAATTTAACAAGATTAACACTTAAAAACAATTATTTGTTTGCTCGAATTTATAATAAAGGTGTGTCTCAGTCTAACTTTTGCTTAATAAATGCACTTTGACGGTCAAGTCAACTGTATTTCAAAAGCCGATACACGGCAATAAATGTGCTCATGCGACAAGTATCTGTGCAAATTTAACAAGAGAACCACCTCAAAACAATAATTTGTTTGCTCAAAATTATAGTAAAGGTGTGTCTCAGTCTAACTTTTGCTTAATAAATGCACTTTGACAGTCAAATCAGCTGCATTTCAAATCCCAATTTGCGAAAGCGTGCACGAGCAAAAGGACAAGCCGCTGTTCATTTCTTCGAAATTTAACAAGATAAACACCTAAAAGCATTTGTTTGTTTTCTTGACTTTATAAAAAAGGTGTGTCTCAGTCTAACACTTGCTTAATAAAAGGACTTTAACGGTCAAATCAGCTGCATTTCAAATGTATTCACTGCCTCAGTGCTCCAGGAGTGCGCAGACAGAGAGGAAAAAAGAAGAACGCTGCTCGTTTCTTTGAAATTTTACAAGAAAAGCACCTAAAACAATAATTTGTTTGCTCAAAATTATAGCAAAGATATGTTTCAGTTGAACTTTTACTTAAATACACTTTAATGGTCAAATTAGCTGCATTTTGCCAGGGCAGTGCAGCAAAATGAAGCTGAGGTTGCTCCAAGCAAAGAGCAGAAAGAAGGTGTGTGTGTGTGTGTGTGTGTGTGTGGGGGGGGGGGGGTATGGCAAGCCGATTGTGTCATTAAGAGCTGGTGAAGATTCTCAGTCATCCAGGACATGGTAAATTCACAAAAGTTCAAGACAAAAATAATAAAGTATAAAGTATAATAAATAAAGTCCAGTTGTTTTTGTCTTGAACTTTTTTGAATTTGTCATTATAGCCACATTTACTTATTACATGACACAATGGCATGCCTTACTGCTACTATTACTCTGCTGCCATCAAGTGGCTGAAAGTGGTACTGCTCTTTTTTTTTCCAGTCAGAATGAATGAAAACGGTCATATCTCAGCCAGAAAATGGTTTATAAATATGGGGGGAAAAAAATCATAAATATGTCACTTCGGCCTATAAGTCACAGGGCATGTAAATTATGCAACAAACCTTGACATATAGGATGGAAAATACGGCACTTGGGGTCCACTGTCCAGGAAAATGGGGAATGTGGTAAAGAGGTGAAAAAAAGAGTCCAGATAGGATGAAGTGGACGGAGAAAAGTTTCAGGAGTGATTTGTGACAAAGGGGCGTCAGCAAAGGTCAAAGGAAAAGTTTACAGGACAGTGGTGAGA